ATTTGTTTACAGTAAAAGGAATAGGAATTTAAAGAGACAGTGATACTTCTGAAAGGATTGCTCAGTAGGCTATACCAACTCCAAACTGCAGGAGGAAGCTATAAATGATATTCTAGCAGAAGTGCTGACAGACCGGGAGGGAAACTGAGGAAAACCTAAGAGTTCCACAAATCTGATGCTATGTAAACGGCTGTGATGTCAGTTCCCAGGAAAGGTCCGAACAGTAGTGAATCTCAGAATTCCAGCACCTTGATATTCCCTACAAGAGCACTAAGACACCAGTCATCAGTTGTGGTGAAGGCCAGCACCAGGGCCAGAACTCGCCTGCATGTGTGGTTATAGTGCCATGTTCTTAAACTCTGCTGTCTCCAAACATGATAAGCATGAGAAACACAGGGCCAGAGAAAACAAAACAAGTGAGCAAATTCTCACATTCTTTCACTAGATTTATTTTCATTATTTTTTAAGCATATGTAAGGAGGGGGAGTGTGTTTATATACATGCAGTGCCCAGAGAGGCTGGATTCCCAGGCGGTGATGAACTGTCCAACATGGGTGCTGGGAACCAAACTCAGGTCCTCTGAAAGAGCAGTATACATTCTTAACTGCTGAACCATCCCCCCCCTCTCCAGCCCCTCAGTCATTTTATTTTAAAACATTATTATAAGTATACCCCAGTTTAAAAAAAATATCAAAGAATAAAGGCACCTACAAAAATGGACTTCGTGTGAGGGCCGCACCTAAGTAAGATTATTCTGTTAATTTCAGGGATCCAACCTATGTGTCCTGTTCGAACTAAATCTTCAAGTTTAAAAATGTAAAAAGCAGGGGCAATAATAAAGTCTGGTCTCTGTGCTGAGTGAGACAAAATGAAAAAACTTAAAGTGTGCTCTGTGCACAACAGCACTCAGGACATTATTTTGCTACAGCTCACCAAGAAAATAGATTTCTCTTACCCCCCCCCCCCAAAAAAAAAAGCACAAATACCCTTTCTTTCTAATGCTTATCTTCAAGACTCATTGAACACAGATCTGTAATGACTCTATCTATGGTCAACAGTTTTTTTCTTTTTTAAAGATCTCTACTGAAGAGACCAATAGGTCTTTAATGCTTTGCTCAAGTATTCTCCACTTACTCTGCGCTCCCCAACTCCGCAAAGAATTTCTGGCTCTAAAGATCTTCCAAGAGACAAGAAAGTAGGGAAGAAAGAGGGAGGAGCTACAAAGCAGAATGGAAAGAGGAAAGGCGGGTTGGGGAAGCTTCATGAGTTACAGCCATGGCTGGAGCCTCCATGGCTGCAGTGACTGACCCTGCACACACAGCCTCTCAACAGACTCCCGCTGCCCAGCCAGGCAGATGATCCCCTCAGTCTTTCAATCAGCCATACTTCAAAACCTGACTTTTCTGTGCCTTCACGCCCACGGTGAGCTCCACTTTAAATGTAAAGTCAAACAGAAAGAAAGACTTCTAAGGTCTTGCTCACTGAATCCTGATTTTATATCTATTACCTTTCCATGTAACTGCTGGAGAGTTTCCACATCCAGCAACAGGAGACCTGGGCAGAGGTAAGAGGATTAGATGAGACAGCATAAATAAAGAATTCTCCTGTGCCCAGGACGTACAGGGTAAGAAATCAGCACTTCCTGACTTCCTGCTTGCATCATCTGCTGGACTCCTACTTATCGTTCAACCTCTAACTTAAACATTGCTTCTGTAAAATCTTTCTTAATTCTGTATCGGTTGAAATTTAATTTTTAGTTGTGTATGAATGTGTCTGTATGGGGCTGTGTGCATGTGAGTGCCGTTGTAGCAACCCCAAAGATTCCCTGAAGCTGGAATTATAGGTGGTTGTGAGCTGCCAGACATGGAAGCTGCTAACTGAACTCAGCCTCAGCAAGAGCAGATTATGCTCTTAACCACTGAGCTGTCCCTCAGGCCCCTCCAGGATCTTTTCTGTGTAAATACCAAAGCTGTCAAGAACCTGCTCTCCCCATTTCTATGGCACTTTAGAGAACCCTCTATTGCTTTGTAGTCGCCTATTAACATGGCTTCCTGCTCCATTTGAGAATCAACACCTCGAGGGTGGGCTTATATTTAGCTAATTACTCCCTATCCCAAATCTAACAGAACTGACCATGAAGAGACGAAAGAATAATTTCATTAAAGCACAACACGAAAACCTTTAGATGACCCTTCAGGTATTTTCATAATGCACTCAATTTTCTTTTTCAAAGAACAATCTTAAATGATTGACAGCACACCAGCAAGGAACGTTTTAGTTTGTTTGTTTGTAACATTTCTGATCATCAGTCATTCAAGCATTCAACATGTTTCTTCTCTGCTCCAGAATACAAATTTGTAAATCTGAACAAAATTAACAAAGTCCCTGTCCCGAAGGGCCTTAGATTTCCCCAGGGTAAATCTGAGGAGAAAGGATATTATGGAGAACTTGTCTAGAAATGGCACAAAATACATTTTGTTATTCAACATTTACCAAATTATCACAGGACAAAACAAAACAAAAAAAAACCCTGCTGACCACATATAAAGATCACCTGTTTTAAAAGACCATGAGATAAGTCCAGATTTAGTATACTAAAGAGACAAAATTGATGTATTGTCTCCCACAACATCAACAAAACACATCAGGGATCTATTTCCTTGAACCTAACAAATAACTATGTGTTCTTTGGAAGGGTAGTGATCTGTGAGTCTGGCTTAACCACTCCTTTGAACTTGAAGTGGTTTTTCTGAGTTTTATCGATCCTATGTCAAAGACTGTGTATGACATCACACCTGTCCTTGTTCTCAAAGCTACCACAGGTCCTGCTTAGCTGTTCTCCCAGTGTGGTCTCTCCTTCCTCAATTACATGATCCATTTCTTTCTGTATGCACCGCCTTGCTTCAATGGCCACTGTTCAAATCCTCCTTGCCTGTCAATATGTTATTTCCATCAGTAAGCTGCTCTTCCTAAGGCAGTGGTTCTCAATCTGTGGGTCAAGACCCCTTGGGGGGGGGTTCACCTATCAGACATATCAGAAAAAAAGAGGATGAGGACATAAGGGAGGCTATGTATCATCCCAAGCAGCATCTGGGGATGCTGAGAACAGTCATGGCAGGTTATTTATCGAACGGTCCCACAGGCATGGGCCATTGCCACACAGAGATTGAACGTCTACTGGCTTGTCTGTTTGGTGGTCATTGGGGCCTTCAATTACAATTCACAGAAGTAGCGAAATTACAGTTATGATGTAGCAATGAAATAATGTTATGGTTGGGGGTCAGCACAAATGGGGAACTGTATTAAAGGGTCGCAGCATTAGGAAGGTTGAGAACCCCTGTCCTACAGGGATGACATCCAATTCTACCTGCCTCTTTTTGCAAAGCTGACTAGAGTCCGCTCTCCTCATAATTCCATATCCTAGATCTACCTGAAAGGACCCTGAAGAGGCCTCAGGACTCTCAGGCAAGAATCAACATCATGCTTCAATTTTCATCTGATACTCGGAAGTCTCACCGAGACACATCTGCAAAACATCAGTCTCGAAACATAAGCCTGGGAGCTAATCATGAGACCTTGCTAACTAAAATGCTATTTGTATGCCAGGGAAAGAAGAGGGTGAGGGCATCAGGGAGGACATGGATCCCAAGCAGATGATTCTGGGGATGCTGAGAACAGTCTAGGCAGGTTATTTATGGAAGGGTCCCACAGGCACAGACTGTTGCTACACAGAATGTCCACTGCTTTGTCTGTTTGGTGGTCATGTGGACCTCTATTTACCAAATCTACATTTTACAGAGAGCCTTGCCCAGTGTCAGTAATTAACAGTAAAAGGAAGGTCAGTGATTTGGGATACAAGGAGAGTGAGCCACGGTTTAGGCTCAGGGCTCCAACAGGCAGAGTGGAATGAGTTTGCTTCTCCCTGCACCTATCTGGAAGGGTGAAAAGCAGCCACACCAAATAGCAGTGAGTGGTTGGCTCACGGAAGCTCCAGGCATTCATCTAGCCTGCCCATAAGGAAGCAATACTTCAACAGCACCCTAAAGGAAACCGAATTATGACAGGAAACACTTAAAAAAAAAAAAAGCATCAACAGTGTGATTCGGAAAACTGCCAGTGAGATTTAAATCACAAATCCCCATTTTCCCTTAAAAGTGCTTTCTAACAACACTGGGTACATCCCAAACAGCTTCCTTTGCCAAGAGCTCACCAATAGTACCTCCCCCACTCGGCAAGAAGGTTGAAGAAAAAAAAAAAAAATCAATGCCCAGAGAACCCAAATCTCTTCATTTCTAGGTAAATTACAAGTATTTATCTTGCTGGGCATTTATCCACAGGAGTTGCTCCTAAATGAATTTAGGAAATGAATATGACCTTTAATAGATAATTTGGTTCCCAAATGGAAAAAAATCAGGAAAGGCAAAACAAGAATGGTGAATGTTGGCCCAAAGTAAAAGTTCTAACGGGGGCGGGGAGGAAGAAGGGACTTCATCTAGAAAATAGGAAAGGCTGAAAGTCAACCAAAAAGTATAAAGCGAAAAGAGAAAATCTTATTCTATCTATTGGAACGATGGGCCACTGCGGAAGGGATGGAACTGGAACGTAGCGGAGATTTAGGAGTTCAAAACTCCTTGACTCTACAAATTATTGTATTTTGCCTAAAGCTGCCTGGGCTGAACATCCTCAAAAGGGTTGGTAGCAGGGAAACCACTCCGGGGCATGGCAGGGGGTGGAGACCCTCCTAAATTCAACAAGCGGCCTCAGCTTAGGCCGGATCAGGGGGAAGCTGGGGTTTCTGAAATTGCTCCAGGCTGTCCGGCGCGGACTGACCCGCGGGCGACCGCAGATTCCACGTGGGAATCCGGGGAGAAGGGAGCGCATCCTCCACAGCCACCAACCAAGGCGCTCGCGACACCGAGCCCCCGAAGAGCCACGAAGCCGGGGAGTGCAAGGGGGAGGGAGGGGGGAGGTCAGTGGGGCTCGCGGGCGCGGCCACTCACCGATGCCGAGCCCCACGACCAGGCGGCCGGCCAGCAGCGTCTCCTTGTTGGCGGCGGCGGCCAGCACAGCGGAGCCCGCGGTGCACAGGGCGCTGGCGAGCAGGATGGCGCTGCGCCGGCCGAGAGCTCCGTTCAGGGCCCCTCCGGCCAGCGCCGCGACGGCGGCCGCGCCCACCGCGCCCGACACCAGCAGCTCCTGCCACATCGCGCCCAGGCGCATCTGGCGCCGCAGCAGCAGCATGGCCCCCGACACCACGCCGGTGTCGTAGCCGAACAGGAAGCCGCCGAGCGCCGAGAAGGCGGCGGCCGCATAGACGAAGGCGGGGGTCTCGTCGCGCTGGAACTGCCGGCGAGCGGCGCGCTCCAGCTCCGCGCCCTGCAGGCTGGTGGCCGACTCGGCGGCCAGCAGGCTGCGCTCCCCGCCCGGCGCCCCCGGCTCCGGCTGCCGGCGGCGCCGCTCGCCCATCAGGCTGCTCAGGCTGCGCAGCGTGTACTCCACGTCCTCGCTCGCCTTGCGGGACATGGAGGGGGACAGGCGGGCACCGCCGGGGCGGCTGCGGGGAAGTTCCGTGGGGCAGCGCGCACTCACTCGCGGCCAGCTGCTGAGCCGCCCGCCTTTGCAGCCTCTGCTAGGCTGGCGCTGCGAAGCGGTCGGGGGCGGGGTCGTGCGTCACTTGGCCCGTTTAGAGGGGCGGGGCCAAATGGAAAGCACCTCCTTTCGTGGGCGGGGCGGGGGAGGAGCTCCTCCTGCGGGCGCGGCCCACCTCCCTCGGTGGGCGGGGTCAAGCGGCCGGCCCCCAGGCCGAAGTGCTCTTGCTGGAGGCCCGGGTACCTGTACCCCATGAAGCCTGCCTGGGGCTGCAGCTGAGCTGCTGGCCTGAGTGTGAAGGCCCACAGGAGACTGTGCATGAGGTAAAGGTCTCTAAGCCGGACTGCCCGCCTTCCAGCCATCTGAGGTAGGCAAGGCTGGGGCTACCTGACACCCACCTAGCTCGGTCCTGTTTGAGTGGGTGTCCTACTGCTCTCCTGCAATTAGATTATTTTGGAGCAGTTCAGAACCGTGTTCTCCTGGTTTCTCTAGTTTCTTTTCTCCCTGCTAGTCCTTCCTCAGATTCTGCCCTTCTAAAAAGCACGTTACATCTTGAGTCTCTGAGGATAGAGGTAACTTAACCTCCCAAGTGAGTCCCCGACTTCTTCCTGTGGATCCCAAGGGAAAGGCAACTTTAGGCTGCTCTTACATAACCAGCTGATTCCAAGTGGAGCAAGGAAACCCAAGAATCTGATTTGTGGTGTGATAGGCAATTGCCACCTTCCTCGCCCAGCCCAAAAGAATACTTTGTCTCAGACAATCCCCGCTGCTGCCATTGATTTGGAGAACTTATTTTAAACGCTCCATTTGCCTGAGACAAAGTAATTTCAAATCGTTTGAGGACGATTATTTTAATTGCTAATTGCCAATTGTTGGTTGGTTTGGAAATCCCGCCTCCCCTTGATTTAAATATTCTGTAAATTATTTTGTGTTGCTGCACTTCAGAAGATAAAGACTAATCAACCATCTTTTTTATGCAGTCTCGTTTTTCATGCATAGGCCACCAGATTTAAATGAAAAATAAATTTAAGGTCCATGGTTCCATCAACAATTCCCGCTCTCATTTAGCTACCTTCTTTGAACAAAAGTTTCTTATTTTTTTCGGGGAGAGGAGGGGTGTTGGTTTGAGACAGGATTTCTCTGTGTAGCTCTAGCTGTCCTGGAACTCACTCCGTAGTCCAGTCTGACCTGGAACTCAGATTGCCTTGCCTCTGCCTCCATGAGCGCTGGGATAAAAGGTGTGCATCACCACCGCCCACCTGAACAAAAGTTTCTTAGCATGAGGCCTATCCGTGAAGTCCGAGCCTGTTTCCTTTAGAGAAAAGATTTGTCATCCCTATCACATTATCAAGTTATAAGACTTTGCCAAAGTCCGCTTCACTTTGGCTATCAGAGACCATAGCTCCGTAATATCTCACTTTCCAGCAATGAAAAAAAAAAAAAATGGGAAAACATGAGCTCAGAGGAATAGCTTTAAATGTGTTGTGTAGCTTTAAAGCAAGGCTTTGCCCTCTTCCCAGGGGGAGATTAAACACAGCCTTAGACTCTGGAACAAGGAAATCTAATACTACAAAAGATCCAGGTGAGAGCTTGCCTTTCTGAGATGATTACAGCAAAACTGCGCCCCCTGGTGGTCAGCCGATTCATGCGCCTTCCGCAGGGAAGAGCTCCCCAGATGAGGCCAGCTAACAGTTTAGTTTCTTCCTGTTGAGATGAAGCAAGCTGAGCTTTCAAATCCAGCTGGTATGGTGAACACCGTGACTTTCTTCACTAACCATTTCAAATTCAACGTTGGGGTTTCCAGAACACTGAACTAACTACTCCTTAAAATGATCTAAACATGGTACCTTTTATTCCTGAGATTAGGTTACCTCGAAAGTAAATGTGGCATCAGTCACACATCAGAAAGCCAAACAGTGCTCTTCTGGGCTCTTGGGAGGAACTAAGTTACATTAGGTCCTGTAGTAGGAAGTTTTCCTGGGTCCTGCTCAGTCCTGCAGCCACTGGGACCCAAGTAAACACACAGAGGCTTATATTGCTTACAAACTGTATGGCCTAAGGGCTCAGGCTTCTGGCTAGCTAGCTCTTACAACTTAACTCAGCCCATTTCTATTAATCTATGCATTGCCACATGGCTTCATGGCTCACCGGTACTTTCACATCTTGCTTCTCCTGGCAGCAGCTTGCAGCATCTCCCCACTCTCCTTCTCCTCTCTCTCCAGTTGGAATGTACCGCCTAACCTTATCCTGCCCTATCACAGGCCAACGCAGCTTTATTTATCAACCAATCAGAGCAACACATATTCATAGTGTACAGAAAGACATCCCACAGCAAGGTACCACAGCATTCAACTAAAATAGAGTTCCCTGTAGCCTGCCCCAGCTGACGTCATGAGGAAATAGGATTTTCAGGGGCTAAGACAAGGCACCACTGTTTCACAGACCGTTTAAAAATCCCTAGGTTAGCCGGGCGGTGGTGGCGCACGCCTTTAATCCCAGCACTCGGGAGGCAGAGCCAGGTGGATCTCTGTGAGTTCGAGGCCAGCCTGGGCTACCAAGTGAGTTCCAGGAGAGGCGCAAAGCTACACAGAGAAACCCTGTCTCGAAAAACCAAAAAAAAAAAAAAAAAAAAAAAAAAAAAAAAAAAAAAAATCCCTAGGTTAGTTTGGGCACCATATTTTCTCACTTGTGAAGGCTCAGCAAATGCTCATTGACTAGAGTATGAAAAAAATCACTTTTCAGTTATAATTTAATTGCTAATCGAGATAAAGTATAGGCACCATTATTGATTTACATGAGTCCTAAATTCCAAAGTTTAAGGACATTCATTAATACATTCCCAAAACACTGGGACCCACCATAGGAGAAGAAAATAAGAGAGTTTTGGATATACTGCTACACATTCTGAACACTCAGCAGAGACATTGGTAGTTGACCCAGTGAAAATGCTTGTTGTTGGGCTGAAGATGTGATTAGAGCATGCTTGCCTAGCATGCATCAGTCCCCAAATTCAATTCTTAATACCTCACACACAAAAATGATGGGACCGTTGATCCAGAAGAAGGGATGAGGAGTTGGGAGCACAATATTATGCTTATTGAATGTTTGTTTTTAGTTACATGAGCAATCTATCATTAGAAAAATAATATAGCAATGAAGATAACCACCCCTAAAAAAGTTCTTCCAAGGTGTGGTGGTTTGAACAAGAATAGGCCCCATAGGCTCATGTGTTTGGAGACTCTGGCCTCAGTTGGTTGTGGAACTGCTCAGGACGGATTGGGTGGCAAGGCTTTGTTGGCAGAAGTATGTCACCGGGAGTGAGCTATGAGGTTTCAAAAGCCAATACCACTTGAAATTCCATTTGACTCTCCCTCTGCCTCTTGTCTGTGGGCCATACAGTTTGTAAGCAATATAAGTCTCTCTGTGTTTCCTTGGTTGAGTCTAAGCAGCTGTGGAACTGGCGGGTGAGAGAGATTTGTCCTGACCGTGGGCCAGGCAGTACTGGAGAAAACTCCAGCTACATATATCCAGGCACATACAGGCAGCACTAAGTAGATTCAATGAGTTTTAATAAACAGAGAGCATGTGAAATTGGGAGGAAAAAACGATGAGGGTGGGACAGGGGATGAATTGGAGGGCAGAGACTGGTTGGTAGATTTTATCAGAACACATTATATACATATGTGAAATTCTCAATTAAAAAAAAAAGAAAATCGCCGGGCGGTGGTGGCGCACACCTTTAATCCCAGCACTTGGGAGGCAGAGCCAGGCGGATCTCTGTGAGTTCGAGGCCAGCCTGGTCTACCAAGTGAGTTCCAGGAAAGGCGCAAAGCTACACTGCTGTGGGATGGTCTGTATGTCAAATGTGTTGCTGATTGGTCAATGAATAAATCACTGATTGGTCAGTGGCCAGGCAGGAAGTATAGGCGGGACTAACAGAGAGGAGAATTGAGAGAACAGGAAGCTGGGTGAGAGACACTGCCAGCCGCCATCAGGACAAGGAAGATGTAAAGTACCGGTAAGCCACAAGCCACAAGCCACGTGGCAAGGTATAGATTAATAGAAATGGATTAATTTAAGCTGTAAGAACAGTTAGCAAGAAGCCTGCCACAGCCATACAGTTTGTAACCAATATAAGTCTCTGTGTTTATTTGGTTGGGTCTGAATGGCTATGGGACTGGCAGGTGTCAGAGATTTGTCCTGACTGTGGGCCAGGCAGGAAAACTCTAGCTACACTACACAGAGAAACCCTGTCTCGAAAAACCAAAAAAAAAAAAAAAAAGAAAATCTTGACAACCATGAAGCTAAAAACCAAGTCAATAATATACTTATCAATTAGCAGTCCGTGATCTTTGAAAACTGCTTAGGACTCTTTACAGGGAACTAGACAAGCTGTTTTAGTAGTAGCTTTTCTAAAATAAGTCAGTAAATAACTAAGAAGAAAGCTTCCTACTATGAAAAATTACTCAAAAATTACTCCTCAAAATACAATGCAGGAAAAGAAATGCATTTCTGAGCTGAAGAGTTAAGATAATTTTATTATTTTCTCTAAATCATTGATTTATTGCAAGATGTTTGGATGAGCATAGAAAAACTCCATAAATAAGATATTGTCACAAGCTAATCATGACAGATCTCCCTTGGGGAACGATTTGGTAAAGAAATGAGAATGTAATCATGCACAGACAAGAAAAGCAAAGTCAATTCTTCTGCGTGATCTTTGTTTTCCAGAATGGTGATGAAATTTCCATGCAGCAGCCTGAGGGTAATCACAGTTGCTTCTCACAGACATACCAGCTAAGTGTACCCTCAGCCTCCAATTACTATGGTGATGGATGAGAAACTCACAGTGTGAAGAGCAGAGGGGAACACAGTCAACTAGCGTATATAGCATTCACAGAATTATTAGTGTTTCTGTATGCTTTGTTTTTTCCAGACAGGGCCATGCTATGTATCCCAGGCTAGACCAAAAATACTTCATCCTCTGGCCTGGCATGTGTAACTTAAAGACATAAAATCCCTTTTTATATTAAAAAATGCATT